TCGTAAATATTATGTTTATTTTTTACGTCAACTATACATTACATAAGATTTCTTATTTTATTGATTATTACACATAATTTCTTATATGACTTCCGATTATATGCTACATATTTGTAAAATATATACACGGATACAAAGCGCAAACAATTTTTGACTGTTAAGATATTTTTTGAATTTATAAATCAATGTTTTAATGCAAATACTGTTTGGTATATAGAAGTCAGAAATAAAAATTCAAACATTTTTTATTATAATAAATCAAACACACGATTCCGTTGTCACTCATATATTACTGTAAATCTCTGATTAAAAAGTGTTAAAAATATTATGTTATTTATTTATTTATACGGTATATGCCTTGTTTGGAAAGATTTTTTGGGTTATTTATCTCGAATATAATTATTGGTTATTAATATTTATGTGAACAATCTAGACAATTCTCCAATACGAAGTATATCTTGATAACTGGAATAATATTGTTTGTATAGTACGATAGTTATAATTTCTAATTTTAACCTTTTATTTGATTTAAATTACAAGTGTTTTATAAGAAATATTTTGTATGCAATAGATATACGATGTGAATAAAAGGGTTATATGAGACATGGACATTTATAGTACCGGTAGTATTTTCAATAATTGTTGGCATGTATATAAAAATTAATCATTTCTATACAATTAGTATGTGAATCATTGCATTTAAGTATTCATATTATTTTTGTAAAAAAATGATTTTGAAATTCCTATTCTCGTATGTTTGCTACAAGTTGTTATATTGAACAAGTTTCAATGCAATTCTAAATAAATGTAATGGTAGTGCACCGCAGTTTGTAATACAAACTTTGTATTCAACATTTTCATTTCCGTACTATTAATAAGGTTTTAACTACCAGTCGATTATAATCAGAAAAATATTTTTAATTAAATGAATACATGAAAGCAATTGCGATCAAATAAATGAAATTCCTGTTTTTATATTGAATGTGAATGCATTGCATAACTTTATTTTAAAATGTATAAAGTTAACATTATACACAATCAATGCATTATTTGTGATTCAAAAAATATTCTACATTTATGCTAAAAATAGTCACTTGTTTACAATGTTCAGTGTACAGTATAACTCTTAAATTTTGATTCAACAGTCTATTTATTTTGTTTTAAATAAAAACATACAATTCTATTGATTCTGTTATAAACTACAGAATCTGCAGTACAGTACACATCTCACCACTAATGAGACAGAGTTTGAAATTNATTTATGCTAAAAATAGTCACTTGTTTACAATGTTCAGTGTACAGTATAACTCTTAAATTTTGATTCAACAGTCTATTTATTTTGTTTTAAATAAAAACATACAATTCTATTGATTCTGTTATAAACTACAGAATCTGCAGTACAGTACACATCTCACCACTAATGAGACAGAGTTTGAAATTGAAATATGAAATCAATTGATAATTCAACAATAGTTTTAGAAATACATTAAAATAATTATTATATTAGAAATTATACACTGGTTATAATTCATAATCCAAACACACACATACACACACACACACACAACAGGTATACATTAATTTCCTTAAATGCTATAAGTTATAACTGATAAAATATATTACAGAAATACAATAAAATACAATAATATTTTGCCAATATACATTTACTCATATTATTTTTACTGTATAGAGATTATTATTAGAGATTTTATCATACAAACACTTGTTAAATTGTGTTTATAAAATTATGTTATGTTATATTTTTAAAATCTGTATTTAATTTATATGTTGAAAATTTAATGTTTGAAACCATATAAGAATTTGGTTTTAATAAATTTATTTAATTTATAAAATAAAATATTGTATTAAAGTATAAACATAATAACATAATAATTATCTTGAATATAACTGTCAACGTCCTTGGATAATTTAATTATACTGGAAAAAACACATTGAATTAAAACATAAGTAACATTGATCATTAACATAGTTGAAGTTATTGTATGATATATAAAATTGTACATATATACACTGTATTTTATATGAATTGTATATTATATATTGTAGTACCTATTATTTACTAAATAATTCCCAGTATATCTTATTGTACTGTATATGACATATTGTAACATAGTGATAATTTTGTTTTCTATGAGTTAATCATTTACTAGATTCTGTGCACTAAATGTTGTTCATTTATATTATTATAATCTAATATTGATTTTAGTACAATTGTAGTGCAACGTTACTTACATAGCTGTGAAGTTTAATTTATTTATTTAGATTATGTTACAATTTGTGGATTTTAATAATATTTAATGGATAACTACACTGTGGTTGCTTCAGTATGTCTGGGTGCGAATTAATTAAATATTGTTTAATTTGCAATGAAGAGGCTCAATGTATAAATCAAATTATGATATTATAGTATATAAATTTTGTTAAAAATATATTTGTCTTATTAGGCTATAATTTCGGTGCCCTTACGTGTCAACCGTGTAAGGCATTCTTTAGGAGGAATGCCTACAAAATTGATGTAAATACTAAGATCCATATTAAATCCAGAAATTATGTTAAGATTCTTACTATTTTTAGCAATTAATTTGTAAATCCGGTGATAATTGTCGCATAAATTGCTTAAATCGCAAAAATTGCAAGAAATGTCGGCTTAAAAAGTGTTTTTCAATGGGAATGAGAAAGGTCATTCTTGATTATTGATTTGTGTTTTGCAATCAATATTAATATATTTATGTTATTACTTATTATTATTAGGAATGGATTCTAAACGCAAAGGAAAGGGAGGAAAGGCAACAGAAAATCGAGAAGAACCGCACAAAACTTCGGGAACGGGAGGTTAAGAAATCGATTCAATTGTACCAAAAGTGGGATCAATCACTAGAAATCTCATCCACGTCCACAAACTCAGGACCAAACACTTGTGACACCATTAGTTATAAAAAAGACAATTGCATTGATGTAGACAGAGATAATATACATGACTCAACCTACCAATTGGCTGTGGAATTGGAGTTTAATAACATACCCAGACCAATTGATGATTATTCTAGGTTAAATGATATTGAATGTAATCTATTGCGGGAATTATTTAGTGTAACAAAGTTAAAGAATATATCAGTTCCCGGCAATATTGTCGCACCAATGAAAACCACACTAGAATTGAGCCGATATTCGGTCACTATTTTTGATAGATCTGTCAATACTCTGATTGGACTGACCAGTAAACTACATGCTTTTCAAAGTATTAATATCGAAGATCAAATAGCCCTGATCAAATACGGGTGCATTGAAATTCACTTATTACGAACGGTTCTATATTATAATTATGAACTAGCATGTTTTGTGGTTCCCAGGGTACGAGTATAATAACTTGTATTTTTGATTGGCGATTAATTTTGATAATTTATTGATATGATAGGATAATACTGGTAAGAATTCAATGATCATATCACTGGATTTAATGGAGCAAATGAGACCAGCAATGTCCAGTTTGATGGGTAATTATATACGCAAATTTGATATTGAATTTAATCGCGACCGAAATATTTTGGACTTGGTAATAATTAAAAAGGTTTATAATTAAAAACACATTACTTATATTTACAAATTATGTCAACAGTTATGGATTATAATACTCTTCAACGCCAACCGACCTAATCTTATTGACAAGAACTACATAAAGTAAAGTGTACAGTACATTTAAGTTTTATATAGATTATTTTATAATTTTTTAAAATTTTAACATAATAGACACCAACAGCACCTATACATGTATTTACTTCAACGCTATCTACGAGTGAAGTATAGTCCTCCGTGTGAAGCAAATGTGAAATTCTTGAGAATTTTAAACATTTTGTATGACATGAAAACGATGCGTGAATTACATATTGAAAACATTCGCAAAGTTGACGCCAGAATGTGTTCACCACTTATGCGAGAGATTCTCGGTATTCAATCAAATGATAATTCAACTATAATTACAGAATTGTGATATATTTCATTAAATTTGTGTTATTTCCGGAATTTTTGCATTAATCCAATTATACTTGTTTTAAAAGTATAAATTATAAATGTTAATTCTAATCAAATGATAATTCAACTATAATTACAGAATTGTGATATATTTCATTAAATTTGTGTTATTTCCGGAATTTTTGCATTAATCCAATTATACTTGTTTTAAAAGTATAAATTATAAATGTTAATTCTAATATTCCTCTCAATTGTGTTATTTTAGCAATGTTTTAAATTAAATTTATTTATTTAACAAAATGTAAACGGGTATTTTACAATAATATTCAAAAATAAAATAAATTGTCCATCAAAAATAATAAATGAATACATTTATTAATAATAAATCTAGCTACCCGCATGTCACAAAAGGATTACGATCTAAAATACCCAGAGATCGTACATCCATTCAAGATTAAGATTCTGAAGTCAAATCTAAGATAGAATTATCCATTTAGGAATTATCAAGGAAAAACCGAAACCAGTTTTGCTTGTCCATGATAGTATGAGTTAAGGGTTATATGAGACATGGACATTTATAGTACCGGTAGTCTTTTCAATAATTGGCATGAATATAAAAATTAATCATTTCTATACAATTAGTCCAGTGTTCCTGAACTCAAAAAAAAGATTACGCTTCTAACATTTATCGTATAAGCTAGGTATTTTTGCTAATTTATTAGCCAAATGTAAAATACAAAAATTTTAATAAAAGTGGTCAAATTGATTGTTAATTTATTAAATGTCATGTTATTTAATTTGGTTCACAATTAAGTTAATTTAGTTCACTGTGTAGTTAATTTGGTTCACAAATTATAACAATACTTTAATATTAACTAAATAGTGAACTAAATTAACTTATTTGTGAACCAAATCAACTAAATTTTGGACCAAATTAACTAAATTGTGAACAAAATTAGCTTAAGTGCGAACCAAATTATCTAGTCAACTAAATTAACTTAATTGTGAACCAAATTGACTAAATAGTGAACTTATTTTCTAAAATTACAACCATATTTAAAATGTTTAATTCGTAACAATGTCTTTGCGCGACTCTATATTTATGCTAAAATCCCTGAGAATCCTGGCTCTGATCATAAGTAATTGGAAATCTACATTGAACTTATCAACTACAATAACACTAAAAATCAAAGTTGGTACGACAAATCTTAGAAAGGTAATCTTTTTTTGAGTTCAGAAACACTGAATTAGTATGTGAATCATTGCATTTAGGTATTCATATTATTTTTGTAAAAAAATGATTTTGGAATTCCTATTCTCGTATGTTTGCTACAAGTTGTTATATTGAACAAGTTTCAATGCAATTCTAAATAAATGTAATGGTAGTGCACCGCAGTTTGTAATACAAACTTTGTATTCAACATTTACATTTCCGTACTATTAATATGGTTTTAACTACCAGTCGATTATAATCAGAAAAATATTTTTAATTAAATGAATACATGAAAGCAATTGCGATAAATAAATGAAATTCCTGTTTTTATATTGAATGTGAATGCATTGCATAACTTTATTTTAAAATGTATAAAGTTTATATTATATACAATCAATGCATTATTTGTGATTCAAAAAATATTCTACATTTATGCTAAAAATAGTCACTTGTTTACAATGTTCAGTGTACAGTATAACTCTTAAATTTTGATTCAACAGTCTATTTATTTTGTTTTAAATAAAAACATACAATTCTATTGATTCTGTTATAAACTACAGAATCTGCAGTACAGTACACATCTCACCACTAATGAGACAGAGTTTGAAATTTGAAATCAATTGATAATTCAACTATAGTTTTAGAAATATATTAAAATAATTATTAGAAACTATACAATGATTATAATCAATAATCCAAACACACACACAACAGGTATACATGAATTTCCTTAAATGCTATAAGTTATAACTAGGAATGAAAAAAAAGTGGGTATGCATTAAATAAATGACCCCTCAAATATTATAAAATATTAGTAATTTGTAAAAATAATAACTTTTGTCAGAATATTTATTAATGCATTGAAAATTCATTTTAATTCTATATACTCATACCTGATTCATTTAACTTGATAGGCTTTCTGTGAGGCATAACAATCTCTGAATAATAAACTTAAATATTTTATCTAAAACTACAATATGTGTCATATTATTTACTAAGCATGTGTTCATTTTGAATCATTAATAATGAATATTTTTATAAAATAAAATAAATTAAATTCACTTGATGAGATTTTTACAAATAAAAATTTTTACTAATAGATTACTTGAAAACTATTAATACAATTTTTCTTTCATTCAGTACGTACACATAAATACATATAAATACACATAAAAACACATAATAAACCCAATAATTTTTCATTCCTAGTTATAACTGATAAAATATATTATAGAAATACAATAACTTCAATACAATAAAATACAATAATTTTTGACAATATACATTTAGTCATATTATTTTTACTGTATAGAGATTATTATTAGAGATTTTATCATACAAAACATTTGTTAAATTGTGTTTATAAAATTATGTTGTTATATTTTAAAAATCTATATTTAATTTATATGTTGAAAATTCAATGTTTGAGACCATATAAGAATTTAATTTCAATAAATTTATTTAATTTATAAAATATTGTATTAAAGTATAAACATAATAACATAATTATTATCTTACACATAAGTTATGTGACATAACTGTCTATGTCCTTGGATAATTTAATTATACTTGAAAAAACACATTTAATTAAAACATAAGTAACATTGATCATTAATATCGTTGAAGTTATTGACAATTACTTATTGTATATAAAATTGTATATGCACTGTATATTATATACTGTAGTATAATGTACTAAATAATTCCCATTATATTTTATTGTACTGTATGTGAAATATTTTAACATATCGTAATAATTTTGTTATCTATGAATTAATCACTTACTAGTTTATGTGCACTAAAAGTTGTTCATTTATATTATTATAAACATACATTGATTTTAGGACAATTGTAGTGCAACGTTACTTACATACGTGTGAAGTTTAATTAATTAATTTAGATTATGTTACAATTTGTGGATTTTAATAATATTTAGTGGATAACTACACTGTGGTTGCTTCAGTATGTCTGGGTGCGAATTAATTAAATATTGTTTAATTTGCAATGAAATGGCTCATGGTATAAATCAAATTATGATATTATAATATAGTATACAAATTTTGTTAAAAATATATTTGCCTTGTTAGGCTATAATTTCGGTGCCCTAACTTGTCAATCGTGTAAGGCATTCTTTAGGAGGAATGCCTACAAAATTGATGTAAATACTAAGATCCATATTTAATCCAACAATTATGTTAAGATTCTTACTATTTTTAGCAATTAATTTGTAAATCCGGTGATAATTGTCGCATAAATTTCTTAAATCGCAAACATTGCAAGAAATGTCGGCTTATAAAGTGTATTTCAATGGGAATGAGAAAGGTCATTCTTGATTATAAATTTGTGTTTTGCAATCTATATTAATATACTTTTGTTATTACTTATTATTTTTATTAGGAATGGATTCTAAACGCAAAGGAAAAAGAGGAAAGGCAACAGAAAATCAAGAAGAACCGTATAAAACGGTGGGAACGGGAGGTTCAGAAATCGCTTCAGTTGTACCAAAAGCGGGATCCATCACCAGAAATCTCATCCATGTCCACAAACTCAGGACCAAACACTTGTGCCGCCACTAGTTATAAAAAAGACAATTGTATTGATGTAGACAGAGATGATATACATGGCTCAACCTACCAATTGGCTGTGGAATTTGAGTTTAATAACATACCCAGACCAATTGATGATTATTCTAGGTTAAATGATGTTGAATGTAATCTATTGCGGGAATTATTTAGTGTAACAAAGTTAAGGAATATATCGGTTTCCGGCAATATTGTCACATCAATGAAAACCACACTAGAATTGAGTCAATTTTCAGTCAATATTTTTGATAAACATGTCAATAATCTGATTGGACTGACCAGTAAACTGCATGCTTTTCAAAGTATTAATACCGACGATCAAATAACCCTGATTAAATATGGGTGCATCGAAATACACTTATTAGGAACGGCTCTATATTATAATTATGAACTAGCATGTTTTGTGGTTCCCATGGTACGAGTATAATAATATGTATTTTTAATTGGTGATTAATTTTGACAATTTACATTGATATGATAGGTTAATACTGGTAAGAATTCAATGGCACTATCACTGGATTTAATGGGGCAAATGAGACCAGCACTGTCCAGGTTGATGGGTCATTATATACGCAAATTTGATATTGAATTTAATCGCGACCCAAATGTGTTGGACTTGGTAATAATTAAAAAGTTTTATAATTAAGAGCATATTACTTATATTTACAAATTTTGTCAACAGTTATGGACTATAATACTTTTCAACGCCGACCGGCCTAATCTTATTGACAAGAATTACATTAAGTAAAGTGTACAGTACATTTAAGTTTTATATAGATTATTTTATTATTGGTTATAATTTTATTATAATAGACACCAACAGCAGCTATACATGTATTTACTCCAACGCTATCTACGAGTGAATTATAGCGCTTCGTGTGAAGCAAATATGAAATTCTTGAGAATTTTAAACATTTTGTATGACATGAAAATGATGCGAGAAATACATATCGAATACTTTCGCAAAGTTGACCCCAAAATGTGTTCACCACTTATGCGAGAGATTCTCGGTATTCAACCAAATGATAATTCAACTATAATTACAGAATTGTGATATATTTCATTAAATTTGTGTTATTTCCGGAATTTTTGAATTAATCCATTTATACTTGTTTTAAAAGTATAAATTATAAATGTTAATTCTAATATCCCTCTCAATTGTGTTATTTTAGCAATGTCTTTAATTAAATTTATTTATTTAACAAAATGTAAAAGGGTATTTTACAATAATATTCAAAAATAAAGTATCTATCAAAAGGGTCTATCAAAATTTAATAATAAATGAATAAATTTATTAATAATAAATCTAGCTACCCGCATGTTACATTAAATGTAATATCACAAAAGGATTCATTGATTAAAACAAAGTAAATTTAAGTAGTAATTATCACAGAATATGTGTTTAAATACTGATAAGATATATTTAATACTAGTTTAATAATTAATAAAATGTCTGTATTATTATTATTATTATACTGTACTTAATATTACTTGTAAAACATGAAATGATGAATCACTTATGTTTAGTAAATAATTTATATAAAACTCGGCTACATTCTTTATATATTAATCATTGTTTTTAAATGTATTATAAAATTGTTAACTTTTGCATAAAATATTGTTCATAAATATATAATAAATGCAATCAAACAAATCGCTGAGAGTTTGTTCAGTTTGTGGTGAGAGGGCTAATGGTATGAATAAAATAAATTTACTTTTAAAATTAATGCAATATTAATACAATTACTAATTCATATCCAATTTAGGCTACAATTTCTGTGCGATTACTTGCCAGTCGTGTAAAGCATTCTTCCGGAGACACGCGTTTAGATTTGATGTAAATTAATATTATTTAGAAATAATTTTAAACAATAATGTGACCAGGATACTCTATATTTATTGCCATACTAGACATACAAATGTCGTTTGGATGGCAATTGTGAGATCACTGTCTCGAGCCGTAGCCGATGCCGCAGATGTCGACTCCAAAAGTGTTTTGACGTCGGAATGAATAAAGTATTCATTATTATACTAAACAAATGTATTTTAAAACATTGATTATAATTATATTTATGATAGGAATGGATACTGAATGAAGAGGAAAAGGAGTATAGGAGGCAACAGATTGAGGAGAACCGGAAGTGGAGGGAAAGTAACCGCAAAATCAAGGAAACAAATGCCGATAAAGACATACAATTGTCGGACACATCTAATACCGAGTCCAACGACAGTCTACTGAGTATTTCGGACACAAATATGTTGAGCGATGAGGAGATCAGTGAATATATTATGCAAATCGAGAACTTCTCTATAAATGACGATATCAGTGGTAATGATGAGGACAGTGGTCAACAGGAGTTAGTCATTCAAGTGATACCTAAACTGATGAATAACTTTAGCCAATTGAATGATATTGAGTGCAACCGTCTGAAAGAGTTGGTCCACTCGTCCGTATTGGGTATCAAAGAAAAGATACCATTCCCTAAGACAACGTCCTATGCATACAAATCAATCTATGAAGTCTTGGAGGTTAATAAATTGGTATATGATACATATATCGAAAACTTTGTAAAAACAATTAAAAAGTTGAGTGCATTCGAGAGTATGTGTCCCGATGACCAATTAACCCTGGCTAAATATGGGTGCTTTCAGTCTAATTTGTTGCGAGCCATTTACTTTTATAATTATGATCTTGATGCGTGGATCATGAAAATGGTAGTGGTAATTATCAATAGTTAACTATAACATTTTGGATATCATATTTTGAGACAATACATTAATGTATCTAGGATGGAAACAAAGCACTTACAATGTCATTGGAGCTGTTTAAAGGTTTTAATATAGAAATGTACAGCCCTTTGAAAAATGTTTTACACCGAGTGGCTAATGAGATTAATTGTGATCCCGTATTGCTAAACTTGGTATATTAACTTTTTCTAATTATTCAAGTTATTACGTTATGCTAATAATACTGTATATTATCACGATATTTTTGTAGTTTATGCCTATTCTGCTATTTAATAGCGATGTGCCCAATATTAAACATAATGATGCGGTTATGTAAGTGTTAAATAATTAGATTTAGACTTTTACACTAATAATAATGATTTTTGTGAATAGTTTTCAACACAAACTATACCAGTATTTACTGCAACGATATCTATACGTGAAATATGGCTCAGAATATGAAGCGAATGCAAAGTTATTAAGCATTTTAGATCTTATAAGAGACATAAGACTTGTGAATGAATTGTATAAACAAAATCTCAAACAAAGCGTTTTAAGGGATAATGATTGCGGACCACTACTCAAAGAGATACTTGACATCCCGTCCCCTGATTCATGTATAACTCAATTGTAATTATTATTGTTAGAGTCTTATTTATTTCAAGTTTAATCAATAAATATATAAATTAATTATATCATTTGTACTAAATATTAATTTAATATCAACAGTTAGTAGCTAATAGTTACTTAGAAAACATGTTTATTTTAAGCTATATTATTTATCTCTGGTGCAAAACTAATAAATTATTATTATTAATACAGTACCAATACAATAAACTTAATGTGCACTTAACTTACTACATTTACTTTTGACGCAATTAAATCATAAATATTAATGAAATTTAGCATACAGTATAATGTGTAAATATAACGTATAGCAATTAAGATTCCCAAACATATACGTTAAATCAGAAATAGATGTGTTTGAGGTGAACTGAGATATATCTAAGGAAAGGTAACAATTATATGACTATTAATAAAATATACAATTATTTACTTGACAAGAAAAACATCGCTTAATGTTTTAAAAAACTAAGTATAAATCAATTATTTATAATTTAAATTATGTTCAATCAATTTAAATTCATTATGAATTAAAATATTTTCATAAAACTCAATGTCAATCAAGTTTGAATTTTTAAATTACTTAAGGGTTTTTGATTATAAATTACATTAACTATTAACATTGAAAATATTTCTACTGTAACTGATATAGTTATAAGTGATAACTCTAATTATAAATTATAAGATTCGACTCACTGCTCGGGAAGATCTGAACATACCTTATAGTTACTATAAAATAGGTTGTCCCTGATCGATCGATTTTTATAGTTTGGTAGTGGCTTTCTCAACAAACAGCTTTATTGTAAGGTTAGTGCAACTTCTGAACTTCAGATTCTGTCTTTAATGCACTTAAACTTGTGTACCAAACGTGTAAACATTACACTGTAAATGTGTAATATCATTTAATGATATAAATATAGAATTAAATAATTAATTTGTGTATAATGCCAACAAAATTAAAAGTTTGTGTAGTTTGCGGGGAATGGGCATCAGGTAAGAAATTTATTGAATGCTAAATAATAACTGCAAATAATACTTGTATTTTACAAATATTTAATTATTTGCCGAACAACTACAATGTTAAATTTTATTATTTATACAAAACTAAATAAATGTTAATAATAGGCAATAATTTTGGTGTCATTTCGTGTGAATCGTGTAAAGCATTCTTCCGGAGAAATGCCCACAAAACATATGTACGACTAAATCAATTTGAAAATAATTTGCTAGTTTATTAATAGTAATATTTGTTTGTTAATTATTTACTAAAGGGACTCAAATGTATGCTTGAAAACAATTGTTATATAAGTGTGGCAACTAGAAAGTTTTGCAAACAATGTCGACTCACTAAGTGTTTTGCAGTTGGGATGAGAAAAGTAAGACATGAATACAAATTTAATTACAAAAGTATTTGTTAACTAATGTTATTGTGCTTAAGGAATGGATACTCAATGAAAAGGAAAGGGATTTGAGACGAAAGAAAATCGAAGAAAATAAGATTAAGAGACTAAACATGTATTTAGATACTGATCTAATTGAACGGACAGTTAGTCCACAATCGTATGAATATTCAGATAATACTCTGAATTCAGATGTGGACAGTCGTGCTATTAGTGACGAGGAGTTGAGTGAATATATTAAGCAAATCGAGAATTTCTGTTCAAACGAATCCTTAATTGAAAATAATATTAACACAACTGATGGTGCAAATAGTGAGCACAGAGATGTTTACGAGACAAATATTATCGTCAATATTACTGAATCTTCAAATTCAAGTGAATCTAATAATACAAATGAATCTGAAAAACCTAATGAAATGGACAGTGATCTGCAACTGGCAGTATTCACCCACCCGTCCACTCAACACTCGTTTACAAACTTTAATTATCTCAATAAATATGAAATCAATTATCTGAAAGAGTTATTGAATACCTTGAAACCAATGAAAAGGATTCAGTTCATGAATAATAATATTAATTCAGTTGAAAATACATTTAATTCAGTCGAGGAGTTCATGATATACTCGACCATAAACTTTGACTCAATTATAAACAAGTTCATTGCCATAATTTTAAGTTTAAACCGTTTTCAAGACATCTGCCTCGACGATCAATTAGCCCTGGTCAAATATGGCTACATTGAAATGAAAATGTTGAGGGCAACCCAATTCTTTAATTACGAGTACCAGAGCTGGGTGTTTAAGGTATTTCCACTAGTTTATAGATTTATGAAATAATCTTTTAATTTTAAATAATATTTAAATTTATAAATAATTACAGGAAAATAACGCTACAATTAAGTGTAATTTGAATATATTTAAAAAT